GAGAGCTGAATCCAACAGAGAACTCTCTTTAAAGCTTCTTAAAATAACGTCTTTCTACGGACGTTTCCTGCTGTCATCATGTTGGCATGCAGAGTCTGTGACACTAAAACAAGAATCCAACTGATCCACTTAAGTCTGAGAACTATTTGGATCAAGTGGACTAAGTGGGTCATTGAAATAAGGCAACAGATGTGCTTTTCAAAGGCAGAGCGCAGAAATAAAAAAGAAGCAGTTGTAAGGGTACCAACAAACGTAGCCACGTCTGTACAGAGTCCAGTCCCTCAACACGGAGCCTCAAACTGGTTTGTTGAGTTCGGCTTCATTTCCTGTAACCACTTTACTCTTGATCTCACAGCTCAGGGCACCGCACCTTCAAATGGTCTACCTACAGTATAACAAATTCCATGCTCAATAATCCAGGTATAAAATCCAACATTTTTCAGTCAGGTCATCTGGACAGTTTCTTTTTTTTGTGCTGAAACGTTTCACCTTCTATCCAGAAGGCTTCATCAGTCAAGGAAACACACAATAAAACTGATTCTTCCCCCAACAGCTTACTCCAAAGTGGAACAAACCAGTTCTGCTTGTGATAAGATGGTCTCTTTGGTACGCCCCTCCTCCATTGCCGGCCCTCTTCCTTGTTGACAGTCTTGTCAAAGTGGTTGAAAACAACAAAGTCCATGACCTACAGTATACTTTGTCTGCGATGGGAACACGCTTTAATAAAGTTGCACGGTCTTTTTACAGCTGAGTGTTTGTGGTTTTGTTTGACATTTCCCGTAAGAACACAACGTTCTAGTCTAAATCACCGTCATATTACAACTGATGTTAGTAATATTAATATTCGGATCTTGTCTTATTTTTAAACACATGCAGTAACTTTTAAATGTTTTGTGCAAAACACACCCCTCGTTGTTCCAGTTGGTTTTTACTGAAGTACTTCATCAGCTCTGGTAAAGGGTTTGGTTTAATGTATTCAGAATCCATGAATCAGATTAAACATTCTCCGCCCGACTCCAGCCTGGACAGGTCAGCAGTCCATCACCGGGTCGGAGACGCACGACACCAGCAGTTCTGCACACCAGTTAACTTTACATGCATGTGTTTGGACTGTGGGAGAAAACCAGAGGTGAAAATACAAACTCACAGAGAAAGGGAGCTGCAGAGATTTTAAACCAGCAGCCACTGTGCTGTCAGAGCAGAGCGCAAACCGTTCACGCCACTGTGCAGCGTTCATGAAGAACCGGACCGACCGTCCATTCGTTTTTTTTACCCGCGTTCCGTTAAGAGTTGCAGGAGAACTAATGCTCATCTCCAGCGGTCACAGGGCGAGAGACGAGGTGCAGAAACTTAATCTGCACCAGTTGTTTTCCTCATATCAACGGTCAATGCGTCTTAAAATCTGCCAAACACCGTATGTTTGTTTACCGACGAAAACAACCGAAGCGACTGTAAACTGGTCAAAAACAGTGACGTCCATGAAAGAAAGTGAAGTCCGTGAATTTTGATGTTTTGATTATTTATGCTCAGTTTTATTTGTGCTTGATCCTCGATATTTATTCTTCCTCCCAGTCACTTTTTGTTTTTGGTCTTTATTCACATTTAGCAGCAGTTTAAATAATATTTGCATCAAAACATCTTCTCCAAGATTCTTCACTTGTCCTATTCTGATAGATTACCCACACAGGTTTCTAATCTCACGCTTCCACGTGGTTTTCAACAGATTCAGTTTTTGTGTACATCGAGTGTGGACCCGCGGCGGTTACTTCCTGGTAAAAAGGAGTCGTTCCACCGTCCAACATGCTGCTCAGGATAGAGTTTTGTAAGGAAGTGACAACTTTAGAGGGATACATTTATTTAGCATTTCATGAACGTGCTGTATCAAAATAGGAACTAATTGTCGGTATTTTGATTTGAATCTGGATCTGAGTGTGATTCATGATTAGGCCTGTCATGATAACAAATTTTTCTGGGCGATTAATTGTCTCAGAAATTATCGCGATAAACGATAATATTGTTTGAAATTTGACAATAATTAGCAATTATTGTCAAATTTAAGAAGAAATGTTGGATAATTTGTTTTGGGTGTAGTATCTTTTTTCGACCACCGGATGGCAGTATAAGAGTCTTTGAACCAAAGGATGGATAGTGAGGGAGCAAGCAGCGCGTGTCTAAGAAAAAACGGGAGGGAGGCCCCTTGACGTGACATGGGCTGTCTCTCTTCGGTTCTCAAAATGTCGGACGCTCGGTGTGGCTCTTTAGCATTTTTCACACAAGGCTTTTAATAAAAAAATCAGTAAACAAGTTCTCAGATTCTTTTTGCAGAGAAAAACAACTTTTTACACAAAGGCACGGGTTTCAACTGTGAATACTGGAACTTCAACAAGATGGAGGTTTTTTTTTTTTTCCCCGAGGTTGGCCTGTTAGCTTAGCTCGTAGCTTAACTTCTCAGCTTAGCTGCTTTTAACGATCAAAAAAAAAAACGCGATTTTGGAAAACGGTTTTAAAAGAGAAATGGAAGGGTCAGTGAGGAGCACCGGGGTTGAGCTTTTTGTCATCCAGTGTCTTCAGTAGAAAGAGAGACACGAAGAAACGATAAAGTCAATTAAAAAAAATGTTGATAATTTTAATTTATCATGTGATAATTCGTGACAGGCTTATTCATGACCAGGACTTGTTGTTTTCTTATGGTCAAACGACTTGTGATTTGTTGTTACAACATAAACTGAAGTGAACTGAATTGCAAAACGCTCTAAAAGTGAAACAGAATGTTCTCCAAACCTGCTTTAAATGTTGGGTTGCGTCTCCTCCTGAGCTGGAAACCCTTTAACCATGTTGCTATTGCAAACATCTGCATTACAACATCCTCCCCTCCTGTCTTATGACAGAGACGACCTCAGTGACTCGGAACTTGCTGGAAGAACCACAACTTGTGAAGCCGCTGGCGTTGAATTTACAGCTGACTTCCATTTCTCCTTCCATCACGTGATGAGCCTCACGGTAAACCTGTGGCGAGGCTCTTTTGTCCGAGCGTTGAGCAGCGAGGACATCCTGTTTGATTCAGAGCAGGATAAACGTCCAGATTCGATAAACACGACTTTTTGTCCTTTTCATTGTCTGCAACAGTTTGAGTTTATCCAAAGCTCAGTGCGTCGTTACATCCATCTCATGGAAAACAACTCCCGACATTCCTCCACTGAACTACACCAAGTTAATTTAAGATTAGCAACAGCTCGACCGTTTTCCTGCCACTTCGTGACGGATGACACAAACGATATAGAACTCGGCCTCGGTCCAAGTTCTTGAAATAAACTGAAGCAACTTGAATCTCGCGCTTCAGAGCCACATGCTGAACAAGTCCTTGTGAAGTGAACTCTCAAAAACTCTCCTTCCAGGGTCGGAGCGTAAACCTGTTGGCTCATTCTTCACACTCTGGATTAAACATCAGCGCAGAGCTGCATGCTTCGTTAGGTGATTTATTTATAATCCCATTATTTCACCTAATTGTCTCGTTATGCTACATTTTGTGCTAACTCAGCTAAACCTAACAACTCCGAGTCCGTGCATGAGGTTCATAAAACCCAAAACATATTAATTATTTATATTGATTGAGATAAATCTATATTTCTGCATGTTTTCTTCGCCTCATCAATTAAAAAAAAATATTTGAATCAAAATAAAATTGTATTAAAGAATTATTAAATCCTATATTTTGCATAAAAACTTGCTCTGTATGGGATCGGGGGCCCGTTGTTACAGACTGTTCGGTCCCTGTAAGCGGTGCGAGACTGGTTCATTGTAAGTCGGACCCTTCAGGGAGTTGGACTCCTCCAGAGCTGCCCCTCGTCACTGATTCTGGTCACAACAGAACTTCTCGGTGCAGCTGGTCCTGTTGGCGTCATGGTGCCGTGACCTTCAGCTCTCACGGAGAGGTTCACAGACAAGTGTGAAGCGGCTGGGATGAGAACTAGAACCTCCAAATCTGAGGCCATGGTCCTCGGTTGGAATAGGGTGGTCCAGTTTGGAAGTGAGCTTCTGCATCAAGTGGAGGAGTTCAAGTTTCTCAGGGTTTTGTTCATGAGTGAGGGAAGAATGGAGCGTGAGACTGACGGACAGATTGGTGCAACCTACAGAGTATTGTGAACTCTGTGCTGGTCTGTTGTGGTGAAGAAGGAGGTGAGCTGAAAGGAGCAGCTCTCCGTTTACCAGCCGGTCTATGTTCCTGCCCTCACCTATGGTCCTGACAAGAATGAGATCCTGGATCCAGAAGGTCTTAAACAGTTTCCTCTGCAGGGTAGCTGGACTTTCCCTTATAGATAAGGTGAGAAGTTCAGTTCTCCAGGAGAGATCTGCAGTAGAACCGCTGCTCCTTCATGGAGGAGCCAGTTGAGGAGGTGCAGACATTCTTGGCATTTATGACTGGAAGGAGACACCAGGGGAAGACCCAGGACTGTCTCTCAGCTGGCCTTGGAACTCATCGAGTCCTCCCAGAAGAGCCGGAGGAGGTGGCTGTGACCTCCCTGATCCAGCTGCTGCAGAGACCTGGTTCCAAACAGGGACCAGGACTCGAGCATATCACGACACACGTGGGTCCGAGTTGCGCAACGCCACGTGTGGTTTTTATTTCTGAAGTCACGTTTGCGTTTCCATAAAGTGGGAGCAGCTTCAGAGGAAAATGCTCCAGGGCCTCTTGTGAGAAACGTGGGGGTGGGTTCTCTGAAGCACCAGGCAGTTCCTCGAAAGAGAAAGAATCAGCTGCTGCACCAGAACAGACACTGGATCCGAGCTGTCAGATTAGGAGCATGGAGGTGAAGTGATCCGGAGCGCAGGCACAAGGAGGACGCAGAGAACTGACACCCCCCCCCCCCCCCTCCCCCCGAGCCTGAGGCTCAGTGGAGAAGAAAAGAAACCCTGTTCGATCCCAGCGCGCAGCAGCAAGACGCGCTTAAATTCTTTAAAAACACAAAACTGGTGCAGGACAATAAACAAGCTTGACTTACGCATGAACTCCAGACACGCGAGACACCTCCCCAGCGCCAGAACCGACCTCTGCGTGGACATTTCTCTCGCCGGACCCGTGCGCTCTCAGCAGACTATGAATCCAGAATTGGTTCCTGTGCGTTTAAACTTCTCATCCCGTCCCGACAGCCCGGTTCCGTCCACACCAGAGTCCTGGAGCCCCACAGCCTCACTGCCGGGGGGGTCACAGAGGTTCCCCGACCCACTTTTCCCCAGCAGGAAACTGGGTCAACAGCAGAACCGCGTCCTGCGCTGGAGAGGTTCTGCTGTTGTTCGGTGCTGGGTCAGCTGTGGCACCGGGCCTGACAGAGGGAGGGGGCAGAGAGGGGGGAACAGCAGCAAAGAACAGAAAGAATGGCTCATGGAGACCCAGTCTGAGAGGAGGGAGGCCCTCAGGGACCGTTCAGAGGCCTCGTCACGTTCACTGCAGGAATGTTACAGTCTGCAGAAAGAAAGCTGCACCCACTTTTCATTTGGAGTTCTGATCCAAAACTTCTGAACCATTCCAGCAGGAACAAAATGTTCCTCCAGCCCAACACGCACACAACGAGACGTTTTGAGTTCACATCAAAACACGAGATTTGCAAATCTTTGCATTCTTTTCTTCACACTTAACATCCTCAGTCTTTTCAGAATAAGGGTTGTACTTGATTTTATTTTTTTGAAATCTACCTGCTGGGACTTTGCACAAGAGAAATGTACAGATATGAAGCCCCCAAAGTGTAAAAGCCTAAAAGGCTGCAGAGCAACCTTGCAAACTGAACGTGGTGATAAAAGCAGATCTGCAGGAGTTTGAAGAGCTCAGTCACAAAGACGAGTGCAAACAAACAAAAACGAAATTGACCTTTTCTTAAGTCTTCAATGGGATGTGGCTCTGATTTAAACTGGACTCGGACCAGTAGGAATCAGATGGCAGTGTGAATGCTGAGAGGAATAAATAGATATATGGTTTAATATATTTAGTCATCTACTAGAAACTCATCATTCCAGCTGACTGAACTCACACAAACACCTGTTCCTGTTAAATTTCTCATTTCTTGAGCAAACCCTTTGACTTGGTGTTGATAAATTCATGGTTTCTAAACAGGGACTGGTTTCTGCAATTGACTTGTTCAGGTTGCAGTTTAGTCCACCTTATTTTTATTGTTAGTCCTTATATAATGATTGCATCATATATAGTTATTTTGGGTGTGGGAGCTTGAGTACACAGATTCACTCCACCTGATGTACCAAGTGATGCGATGCAAATGACAAAGTCTCCTTGAACCTCGATATCACCGACTTTGAGTATATTTTTTTAAATCAGTCCTCGTTAAGTCTGGTGACAAATAACTTAATTGAAGCGTTGGCAGCTTAGCTAAAGGACGAGTCAAGACTCTGAGCTTTTGGATTTACTGGTCTCTTAAATCATCCACCTTGTTGCTGAAACACAGTCTGTTGGTTTTAATGGTTAAAACGCTCCTTGCAGTTACCGTACTTGCAGCCGTACACGTCGCACCGCCGCATCAATCCAAATATGTCGCTTCACGGTATAAGTCACATCTATTATGAGTTACCGCTGATAACCCGGAAACGTGGGCCAGCGTTGTGCCAAAAATCGATTGGCTGCCAAATGGCGGCTGCGGGAGCGTGCACCAGAGGACTTTAACAAGAATTTAACAAGATTAACACTTAAAAATTATTTGTTTGCTTGACATTACTTTTACTTAATAAATGCACTTTAACGGTCAAATCAGCTGCATTTCACCGGGGTGGTGCAACGAAATGCAGACGATTTGACGTTTGCTCCAGGAGTTCAGGAGCGAGATGAAGGTGGCTCTGTATGGCAAGCCAAGTGTCTCATTAATATACACTTTTACCTATTAATGACACACTTGACTTGCCACGTTACTCGACCGCCCTCTAGTGGCTGAAAATGGTAGTGTTCAATATTTTCCATGTCGGAATTAATTAAATTGTCAGATCTCAGCCAAAAATTGGTTATAAACATGGAAAAAATATAGATATTAGTCACTTGCATGCTAATTTATACGAAAAAGTGCGACTTATACAGCTAAAAATACAGGAATTAATCCTCGTTTGTCTTGGAGTCATAACATGCCAAGAGTAAAATGAGTAAAATGGACAAAAAGGTTAGCATCAGTTCCTTTTAATTGTTCAATGCATGGCCACACACATATACTGGTTTCTGCACTGTGCATGATGGGACAGTCACTATGAAGATGGACACGGGACACGTTGTAGGAGTTTATAGAGATCTAATCACATTCCCCAGGAAAAAGGTCAGCTGATCTCCTTCACGTAGGCTCACCTTCTTCCACAAACCCAAAGCTCAACAGCTTCTTCCTTCCTGCGCACTCCAACCCGATGAACAGATTCAGGGTTCTTCTCATCAGTTTGGGTTTGTTCGGTGGATCGACGCACAACAACAATCCTTCCCTTTACCGTAAACATTCCTGCGATTATCGTTCAGATTCAGCGTACACAAAGCAAAACGAACAACCGGGTACAAAAATAAAATCCAAATTAAAAATCTTTGAGCACGGCGACGACGCCTCGAACATCTTTTTTTTTCCTCTCTCTCCAACAGAAATATCACAATACATTAAGTCACAGGTCACAAAAGTTCACCGCAATTAAAGAAAAACAAATCCTAATTAAATAAAACTGAAGCCACGTAGGAAAGAACCCGATCCCGGAGAAACGCACACGTCTTCCTCAAACCTTCTGTAAGCGCCGAGGCACCTGGTTTGGTTCTGATTGATGGCAGCCTCATGTGCCAGCCAGTCGGAGTGTGTGTTCCCGGCCTCAGACGTCTCACCTTACACCCTCGCCTTTTTAAAGCGCAGTCCTACGACCCTCGACCCCGTTTCCAAAAAGAAGACTGAAGAAAGGAATGAAAATCCAAACCACTGCTCTAAATATCTATATGGATTCATCTGTTGGTGTGTGCAGTTCCTCTCCACACATAAGTTTGCTAACATTTACAGTGTATTCCTGGTTAGAAGTGAACCAGGGGCACTTAATTTGTGTAGCGTCACCCCACCGCTGCCTCCCCCGACCACCGGGGGTCACTCGTTACCTTTAGAAACTGAGAGGTGGGAGAGCTGCTGCTTCTTGTGGCGTCGTTTTTTTTTTTTTTTCCCGCGCTTCTTTTTGAATTTTATTTGATAAATATTTAATACTCCGCTGTATTTTCTTGTTCTGCCCTCTGAGCTTTACCTCCACCGTCCCGCCTTCTTTTGAGTCGTTTTGTTGCCTTTGGAGACGCAGATACACACAGAGCAAAAGAGTGGGAGAGATAAGAGGGAGCGAGTGTTGTGATCGATCAGCTGCTCGCAGCGTCGACAGCTGCCCCCCGTTGAACTCTCAGCCCATCTCCTTCCACTGGCGGTAAAAGTCCACGATGTTTTTCAGCTCCATGCCCGCCGAGCCCACGGCCTGGATCGCCAACTGGAAGAGAGAAACTACCGTAAACAGCTGCAACTGTTTAGCCAAGAAACACCACCGGGTGGGGTGGGGGGAGTAAATCCAACAGCAACATGTGCACAAATTAGGCAGACAAGTTTAAGGCTTTCACATTTTTTAACCCGATATTTCTAATCTTATCTTTAGGCTAGCATATAATAATCCTACATTACTTGTAAGAGTCACTGAAAGTGAAACAATCTCTGAAATCACTTTATATTAGTTTCTCAATCTACTACAGTAAAAAAAAAAAAAAAAAGTCCTGCTTGATCCTCAGTATTTACTCTCGACTGATGTCACTCCTTGGATTCTTGTTTCTGTAGCAGAAGTTTCACTCATATTTCTACCTAAACATCTTGAAAGTCATAATTTGTCTGATTCCGCCATATTTGTTTTCTGCTACGGCTACGGTCAGCCATGTGGGATTAAGATTTAGCAGAGCTTTGTTTACATCGAGTGCATACCCACATTTTAGAATTGTATATTATATTTGAAAAAATACTGAAGTAAACGCCTTCAAACTGCAGCATTTGATAATTTGATGGTTTTGCAACTAGTATATTTATGCAAAAGAAAAAAAAATAAGGCCAGCCAGTTCACCTACTACTGCAATTGTTGCAAAAGATGATATCTAGAAAACGTCGAGGCAAAAAACAAAAACAAAAATAGAGCAGAAAAATATGGAAAATAATTAAAAAGGAAGTTGTTCCAACGAAGATTTTAACAGAAGAGAGAAAAATCTTAACCAAACTAAGAAGTTTGACTAAAAGTTCATCGAGCGGTTATTCTTTGTGGAGGGATTTCTACGACGACGACGTGAGAAGAAACTGACCTTCATCGCTGCTGACTGGGAGCACAGCTCTTCTACCTCGTGGCCCGTTAGGATGGTCACCATGCCGGCTGTGTCTTCGTCTCCGTTGCTCTGGGACACCGTCAGCTGTCGGCAGCTGTCCACCATCTTATACAAATGCCTTGGTGCGCAAAGGACGAGACGCAAACGAGAGCGTTTACTTCCGATAACTAAACTTTAGACCAACTGGAGTAAAGTGAAGTTTACCAAGCTTCGATATCCTGACGTTTCAGTTTATCTCTTTCGAAACTGCGGCCCGACTCCTTCTGGCATCGGATGTACCTGCAGACAGAAAGTCAGAACGCTTCATCAGTGACTCTTACACGTTAGTCAAAATGTTTTAAATCTGTATTCTGTAGAGAATACGGTGATGAAGCACAGGCTGTCCATGTTCATTTAGGATCATTGATACAATAAGGGAATAAAAACAGTTTAACTTTATCAGAGCCCCAAATTGTAATTATTCAAATTGGTAAAATTTGATAAGACTGCACAAAACATCGTAAAAGTTATGGTTATCACAACATCTGGAAGCGCCTCATCAATAAGGAAAAGTACTGAAGTAAATCGCAAACCAGATGCCAAACAAATAATTGGCAGTCCCCACGATCTCGTGCACCAACGGCTGATTTAGAAATATTAAAGCTAAAGAAAGTTGAGATGATCGTAGGAGAGGAGAGAAGTAAAGGAAATGTCGGTTCATCGAAATATTCAATGTCGCAATTACACATTTTCCTGTTGTCAATTAAATCAATCCAAAAATGAAAAACCATAAAAACAATCGTATATAAAACAGCTTTAAATTAACTCTTAAATTATATTTAAACTCCGTACATTAAAAATCTTTCTCCAGTTTCCCTGTAAATAACCTCATTTTGAAGCTGGGTGTCTGTTCGTCAAACAAAGACGGCGTGTTTACTTTTACAACGGTTTTATTAAAGATCAAATAAAATGCATCATTTAACCCAAAGCTCTTCATAAAAAGGCTCGTAAAACACTCACCGGTTGCCTTTACGAAATTCTGACTCCAGAAAACGGATGCCGTCTCTCGCACCAGCATTTTCCTTCTTTAACCTGTCGAGCCCGTCGATCACTGTCAATGAAACGAACGGAAAGTTGACTTTTGGAATTTACGGTTTTTCTCATGAATTGGAGGCTGAACTTCGGCACGGTGTTATTAAATGGTTCAGACCAGCACCAAGTCACCTTTAGGTACCGTCTACTCGGCTTGGTTCATACAAATCAGAGCTGGAACACCAGCGGCGACGTGTTTAATAAGCGCTTATTGAACAATCGGTGATGTGTCCGACTCCGTTCACTTGTCAAACTTCCCATTAGCCGTCGTTACCCGTTTGTCGACGAGCGACTTGTGTTTGTGTGAAGGCGGCGCACCGACCTGTTCGTGGGATGATTATGATGAAGCAGCCGCTGCCAGCCAGCTGCCGGATGAGATTCAGATGCTGGCAGAGGGCAGCGGTGTCTGGTACCAGGTAGGGAGACATGGACGACTGAGCTTTGGGCTGCTGAAGGCTGCCCTCTAGCTGCGACACCTCCAACTGCAGGAGGAAAACACAAACCTTACACCTGGTGTGTGATAAATATTAATCTGACAAACTCGGAATTAATCAAATATAACGTTTTGACACTAACAAAATCAACAACACACAGAGGAATGTACAAACGCTCTAATTTCAAACAGAAACACGATGATTCAGTCACAGAGGTGAAAATACCTGCAGTCGAAGTTGGGCCATGTCCCTCATTAATCGATTTCGACGAGCCTCCTCTTCAGCCTGATCACACAAAGCAGAGTTGACACTCGCGGGCCAGAAATGGACATTTTCTCATTTTTGACGTCAACAAAGACACAGCTGTAGCCAGTGGTTCTGCTCACCATCCTGAACTGGGCCTTGGCCTGCTGCACCAGATTGTCCTGCTCAGACTGGCTGATGCTGGTGAAGATTCCTGCTTCTGGGTTGAAGTGCAAAATGTTGCCTTGGAGATTCGTTAAAAAGTGTCCGAAACTGCGAATGCAGCACACTCGCACCACGCACTAAGACAAAAGAAGAAAAAACAAAAACAAGTGGTTTGTCTTTTTAAAAACTAAATGTTTAGTTTCAGTCTTTTATTTGTGTGTCTTTGTATATCAAAAGTGGACATTTTGTGTCTTTGTGTGTTCTCGAAGCCGTCCTCCTCATCGTGTTCTTGTTAGATGGGCAGTCGGAGAGCGCTTAACACGTTCTAACACTGCAGATGGTGACGATGAGGAGTGTGGGTTCTGTTTGTGCCTTTGCAAAGTGCAGACGCTTCTCTTGGCAAATCTTTACATTTGGTCTTTAAATAAAAGTCAAAGACCCACCATTTAAAAAGATATTTACATGTTTTAAAAGAAAAGCTTTGCATAGCAGATGTAGGGATTAAAAGTCTGCCCTGCCTAGTTTTCTGGAAACGTTTTTAATATTGTGCTTCTTTTGTGAAGTCGGTAATAGTTTGAATATTTTTAAATACATTTCCTGCATCATAAAAGAACCTGGAGAAAAAAAAAGCTAACCAGCTAAATAAAGTGCTAATCTGCACAATAAATCAGAGTTTGGATTGTAAAAAGTCCCTCGTGTGTGCATGTGAAGGTCGTACCTCCTGCAGGGAGCTGAGGGAGGCGTTGCGGCGAGTGAAGTCAAGACGGCGGTGAGCTGCGTTGAGAGCAGGCAGGTGTCGCAGAGCCACGTCCTCAGGCAGCAGCAGAGTCTGGACTGAAGCTGGATGCTCACACTCATTTAACATTTCTGTCACCTCTGCATTCGATCCCAGCTCTGCAACACACACGGCAATAAATAAACTCACCAGAGGCACAGCACGGTTGTTGGAGTGTAAAACTCCCCCAGAGAGAAAACCGGTCCGTGTGAGAGCCGAGCGTTGAGGTGTGTGCACAGCTCATGCAGGAAACAGATGAGGACTAAAGTCTTACAACTAGGGACGGGAAGGGATTTTTAAATATTCAAAGTAGAGTTAAAATGGACAAATTTAAACACATTTGAATTTTAAAAGGTGTCATCTTTACCCCCCTTTGTTTTAATTACACCAGCACCTGGTGCAATAAATTAAAAAAAGAGAGAGAGAGCCTCCTGGCATCTTTCTGCCATCACAGTTGACAGTTTTCCAAATAACACAAGTGTACAGGGTCAGCTTGATGAATACAACTTTATGACATGAATAGTTGGGAGAAATCCATTTATCTTGGAGCTGCATCGAGGTTGATGCCGTTTGAACCAAATCTGACATTTTTACTCACCAGCCTCGAGCAGCTTGCTGCCATCTGGAAGCAGGTTCAGCAGAACAGACAGACGGTTCCACAAGCTCTGAGAGCTCTGAAGGGGAAAAACACCACGGTTAGTTCAAACAATGTTTAACGAAGTCGCTGAGCGATGTAAAGGTAAGGGCGTTGCGTCCCCTCACCTGTGCACACATGAGGATAATGTCGGTGTTAGTCCTCAGCCAATCGATAAAGACTTTCACCACCTGCATCAACCCCTGGTTCGTCAGGATCTCCAGCTTCTCTAGGAGGGTTTTTTCACTGTGTGCAGACCGAGCGCTGTGTTGACTTCCTTCAGAGTCAGAGTCCAAGTCTAGCAGAAAAATACAAATACCGTACAAAAGTATGAGTTTAAGGAATGAGCACTTTGAATTCTTTGTAATTAAAAAGAGACAACAACCAGAAAACACGGGTTACACGTTGAAAGTGTGCATACCGTTGTCATTGGTTCCATTGGCAGTACCAGGGCTCAGATCACACTGGAAATCCCCAGGAGGAGGTGGAGTCTCTTGGGACGGGGGAGCAGAGGTGTCCGTGGGGGTGGGAGTACCGGATGACGTTGAGGCTTGGGGTCTCAGAAGCATGTTGCTGAACGTCGGCGCCAGGCGGAAGCAGCGTTTTGCCTGGAAGAGCTGAGAGGACATAGCCTGGAGGTTGCTGCTGATGCTGGAGTCGCTCGGCATGAGGGGCCCGTTGGTGGCCGGAGGGGTCTCGCCATCCCTCTCTCCTCCTCCATCCTTGGGCTGTTCTTCATCTTCCTCTTCCTCCTGGTTGTCCCGGGCCTGAGCCTCCACGTTTTCAGAGTTTTCCGTGTCCTCGATGTCTTCGAGGTCTGAGCGAGACTCCTGGCTGTTCATGTCAGAGTCAGTCTCCACGTCAAACGCTGTTCCTCCGTCCTCCTCTTCCTCCGAGCCACTTCCCCAGCAGCCCTCCTCCCCTAAAGGCTCTCTCTTAGTTTCCTTCTTGATTGCTGAAGGATTGAGCGGTTCTTCCACTGCGGTCCCGCCTGTTGAATCAGCACGCTCCATCCCATCCACATCATCATACTCATCTTCTTCGCTCTCAAATCCTTCGCTCAAATCGCTTTCGTCTTCCCCTCGGCCACTTTTGTGAGCACAGCGGCGGCGGCGGAGACGAGAAAGGCGAGTGTACTTCTTCTTCTGCCTCGGTTTCTCCTCGTCAATCTTCTGAGGATCTTCCTCACTACTTTGCTTCTTGTGGCCAACGCGCTCACAGCCATCTTCATCCTTGTCCTCCTCCTCCTCCTGCTCCAGAGAGCCGTTCTGCAGAGGCCTCTCTTCAGAACGATCCACCGGTTGAGCCGACAAATCCCGGATCTCCACATCATCTAAATAAGAGCAGAAACATTTTCTACACACACATTTCTGTCACATATTATAAAATAAAACGCTCTGAAAATAAATTTATTTCATAAAATACACACATAAGAAGTGACTTTCAGCTGTTTGAGTGGTTGTTCTGCAATATTTTAAAGGGGTATTGTTTATTATTATTATGTCACCTGCAGCCTCAGTGTGAAGTGGAGGCACTTGGCCCTCTCCGTCCTCCAGCTCAGCCTGCAGCCGAATGTTCACGTGGTTCACAAGGTGGGAGAACAGAGCCAGAGTGAAAGCTATGGATGCGCTGTACTGCTTTGATCCTGAAAAAAAAAAAGACATTTGTTATTAAAACAGAATTTTTGTTACACATTATACCGTACTTGCCTATGTCGCATCTATTATGCATCACCGCTGACAACCCAGAAACGTGGGCTGGTGTTGTACCAAAAATCGAATGGCTGCCATATGACGGCCATGGGAGGCGTGCACGGGAGGACTTTAACAAGATTAACACTTATAAAATAATTATTTGTTTGCTTGACATTAAAGCAAAGTTGCGTCTCAGTTGAACTTACTTAATAAATGCACTTTGACGGTCAAATCAGCTGCATTTTACGTGGACGGCACGGCGAAATGCAGCTGACTTGACGTTTGCTCCAGGCGTTCCAGAGCGAAACGAAGGTGGCTTGGTATGGCAAGCAAAGTGTCTCATTAATAGCACTTTTAACTATTAATGCGGGGCCGAGATGGTGTAGAGGCAGGGCAGCCGGCTTGGGACCCGAGAGTCCCAGGTTCGATCCTCAGTCACTGCACATCACGTGGCGTCTCTGGGCAGCACGTCTAATCCCCAAAATGTCCCCCGGGCGCTTTCAATAGCTGCCCACTGCACCACCTGGTGGTGGATGGGTTAAATGCAGAGACTAATTTCGCCATTGTATGGAAACATACAGTGCTGACATTGTGATGACATTATTATTATTATTATACTTGGCTTGCCACATTAGTTGAGATCCCTCTAGTAGCTGAAAATGGTAGTGTTCAATATTTTCCATGTCAGAATGAATGAAATCGTCATATCTCAGCCAAAAATTGGGTTATAAATATGGGGGGGCATTAATACGTCGCTTTGCTGTATAAGTCAAAGGCATGCTAATTAATGCAAAAAACTGTGACTCATACAGTGAAAATTACGGTAATAGACCAAACGAAAAAACACCAACCTCCCCTTTTAAGGCTGTGCACCACCATCAGACACGTGACGACCATCTTGAAGATGAGGTTGTCGGGCAGAAAAGGGCAGGGGCTGTCCGTGTGCTGCTCCTCGTCTTCCTCGCTCGGGCAGTGGTGAGCAGCACCGTGTGTTGGAGGTGGAAGGTAAAAGAGTACAAGGTTGAAGTCCTCCAGCACCGACTGGCAGAGCGACGTCAGCTCAGTCTCCATCAGACTTTATAAGCAGAGAAAACACAAACGACTAAAATGAAGGATGTGCAGTAAAAAAAAAATGGAAGGACAACGGACTCTTTACCATTAGAGGAACAACGGGGATGAAAATCTGACCAGAGCGGCAGCTGAAGCGTTTACCTGTTCTTGGGCTGCAGCAGGCTCTGGAGGTGCATGAAGCTCACCAGGAGGCGCTTAATGTCTTTGGATCTGCACAAACAAACACAAAAAGATAAGAGCAGTTACAGTAAACAACTTTGTAGAAAACCTGACCAACATAAAGCGTTTTTGTGCCTCCACATGGAAACAAACAGAATATTCCTAAAAGAACACTTTGAAAAGGAGAAAAATCGATTTTATTGGACTGCACTAAATTGGACTTTTTGTACCTAAAAAGAAAGGCCCAAATTGTACAAACTGTTTAAACAGTAACATTTTATTCTCTTTCCAGGTGGAAAAAGAAAAAGTTAATTTAATTTGGTCCAATTGGGCACAAAGCATTTCCTCCCTAAATGTTTTTTCTCTTTTTTTCAATCTAATTTTATCTGCAGGAAGGTTTATTTTACTTTCATTAGTGCCTCCCTGACAGAAATTATAGCATTTTTTTTATTATTATTTAATCCCAAAATAAATTACAGTTGCTCTGACTTGTGAGAAAACTAAATGGCTTTTTTTTTTTTTTAAATCACAGATTCTCAACAGACCAGGAACAAGAGAAAGCAAATGTTCCCAGTTAAACTTTATTTGCTCCGACTAGATGTGTAAAACGTTTGTTCGATCAGCAGCTGACCGGCCTGAGATCATGCGGCGACTCCTCACCTTTGCCGGGACGGAGAGAGCTTCTTCATTTCCTGCTTCTTCACTTGCTGGTACATCTTGGCAGCTTTGTCAAACAGGCGCTTCAAGTTGCCATAGGCCCCATCAAACGGAGTATCTGACTGGATGCTGAGCAAAGAGTTTTGCATTTATTCAATAAGAACGGGTAAACTTATAAAATGGTTATCGGCTGCACGTTGACGTCTCTCACCAGCGTAAGTAGTAGTAGGTCGCTTCAACGTTGTAGAATTTGCTCCCAGCCAGAGTTCCCAACTGGTTAAATGGCATTCCTGATAAAAGGTGGTTGGACAGAACATTAATAAGTTAAGATTTTTATTTTTAAAATGGGAATCATCAGTCACATCTATAAAATATTATATCAGTAAGCATTATATTATGAAACTCATGGATAATCTCATTATGGCCGCTTTTGTTCTTAAAATTTATTGGTTAGAAACAGAAAAACAACAACATAATTGACTATTTTAAGTTATTAGTCTTCTCTGCCTTAATGTTGGATGATGAAGCAGAGATGCGTCATTAAATTCTCGGGTAACGCCGTGATCACCTCCACCTCCACCATTACAGCTATACTGGTCGTTCGTCGTTCACCCTGGGTTACATTTCCATGTGGGCGGAGCGATCCGACCGTTCTCGTCATGACAGCTGCGTGATACGGGTCGAACTGAGGTTTGGCAGTTGGATCAGAGTCTGCAGATCGTGTGAAATGTTTCTGACTGTGATGCTGAGTGGCCAAAGTGATGGGCTCGTATGAGAGGAAGATTTATTACTGGGGTGCAACGGTACACAAAAAAAAACAAAAAACAGTTGGGCACATTTTCAGTGCGAGAACAACAACAAAAATAATAATAATTTTTATTTATTTATTTATTTATTAAATATATATATAATTAATGCAAAAAACTGTGACTCATACAG